CCAGCTGCTGCCAGCCCTCCTGCTGCACATGCTCCCCCTGCCAGCAGGCCTGCTGCGTGCCCGTCTGCTGCAAGCCTGTCTGTTGCACATCCGTCTGCTGCAAGCCAGTCTGTTGCACACTCCTCTGCTGCAAGCCCGTCTGCTGCAAGCCTGTCTGCTCTAGGGCCACGCCCTGCCTTTCATCCGGCTGCAGACCCTCCACCTGCATGTCTGTCATCTGCCGCCCCGTGTGCTCCCGCCCGACCTGCTGCGTCCCCGCCTCGGCCCAGAAGTCCTGCTGCTGACCAGCACATGTCCCTCAGGGCTCCAGGTCCCACCCTGTGACTGCAGTCCCCCCAGCTCCCCTGAGTCTGGTCCTGACCTGTGTTAGGTGGCCTCCCCCACCCAGGATGGGGTCCCTCAGGTCTCCACTGTCCTGACTTGAACTCTGACTCCCAGGAACCCCTGACCTCACTGCTCCCCAGCCTTCTGCCTCCCGGGAGGTGCCTCCTCCTGCCTCTGGGTCACCTGTCCTCCCCTCCTAGTTTCTCTGCCAGTCACTTGACCTTGACTCTCAAGGTGCACCTTCTCGGGCACCCCAATAAAGTCACTTCATCACCTGACCTGTTCCTTCATCTGATCATAGTGGACACATGGCTTTGACCAGACATTGGTCTCCTCCAGCCACTCGTATCCCTAGGAATGCGTGACCAAGAAATAAATCCCAAAGGGCAGTGGCCTAACTCCTTTGGGGGGACAGGGTCACCCGTGGGACTGTAGCCGTCACCCAGCAGGGTCACCGATGGAGTGGCCAGAGGCCATGTGACGCAAGCTGAGCCCAGTGGATTTTGCTGAATTAGGCTTTAAATCACATGAGGACCATGGAGACCTTTAACGTCTTTAGAATAATAGTTGCATGGAATTTGGTTCACAGTGTGAGGTGGGCAAAGACTTGCTAAAAATATTTATCCTGTAGCTATTTTACAGATTTGCTTTGTCATTCAGATTGCATCACTTTCAATTCTTTCCCTGGTGTGTCAGACTAAGGATTAATAGACTTTGAGTTGCAATTCCATACAGTCGAGTATACATTTTTTTATACAGTCCGGCGTGTGGCTGGGGTGGCTGGTGTTTTGAGGTCACATCAGCGTGACATCACCATGGTGGTTGGTGGTGTGTGGGTTTTAAACTGTGGTAAAATCCACATAACATGAAGCTTTCCATTCTAACCGTGTTTCAGGGCACAGCTCAGTGGCGTTAGGGACATTCACACTGTTGTACAACCATCACCACCATTGTCTCCAGAACTTTTTCATCTTTCCAGAATGAAACCTGCTCGCATTAAACGCTAACTCCCCACCCTCCTCGCAACCCCTGGCTCCAGCATCTACTGTCGGTCTCTGTGGATATGTCTACTTTAAGGGCCTCATATAAGTGGAATCATGCCATTTTATTCTTTTGTGCCTGACTTGCTTTCTGAGCATGAGGTCCTCAGGGTTCCTCCATGTTGATATCAGAACTTCCTTTCAAAGTCTGAATAACATTTCGTTGTGTGGCTAGACCAGTATGCTTACCTGTCCATCCACAGGTGGACGCTTGGGTTGCTTCTCTTTTAGCTCTTGTGACTAAGGCTGCGGTGAACATGGGTGTACAAGTAATTCTTTGAAATCCTGCTTTCAGTTCTTTGGGGTGTGGGGTTGCTGGATCGTGCGATAGTTCTGTATTGAGTGTCTGAGGAGCCTCCGTGCCTTCCGAGCGGCTGCGCCATTTATTTAACATTCCCACCGACAGTGTGCGAGGGTTCCAGTTTCTCTGTGGCCTCCACGACACTTCACACTGGTTTTCTGTTGATAGTAGCCAGTCTCACAGGTGTGAACAGTGTGCCTGTTTTCATCACAGACACGGTTACTGCAGCGGGCCCCGCGCTGCGAGCCCTGCCCTCACCTGCCGGCCCTCACCTGTCCCATCCTCACCTGCCGGCCCTCACCTGTCCCGTCCTCACCTGCCAGCCCTCACCTGTCTCGTCCTCGCCTGCCCGCCCTCACCTGTCCTGCCCTCACCTGCCCGCCCTCACCTGCTGGCTCTCACCTGTCCC